CCATTTACCGATTCAGTCCCCAATTCCCCAATGGATAACTGCTTTTTTCGTAAAGACGATAACAGTCCAACTTACGGTAATAATCCAAGTGTTGGTAATGGTAGTGTCTCTGCAAGGGTAAAAGGCCCATAGGTAGAAAATCTACAAAAGAATTACTTTGGAAAAGTCAAGTCGTTGAAGCTGAAGTCTACAAATTTAACAATTTTTTGGAGACATTTAACCAATACTTTACTATGAAGGGAATGAAAAAAAATTGAAAAAGAAGATAAAAGGGTTCAAACATTGCAGAAGATGAAAGAACTTGAGATGAAAAAGGAAAAACATTCCATAATAATTGCGGACATTTCCAATATGAACTCTCAATTGAAAGCTTATTATATAATGCTCAAGAATGAGATTTTTCACAAAGTAGTTTACACATGTGAGCAACCTAAATTACTATTTTCCTTTGCCTCCTAATGAATAATTGGGGGAGAATGTACCTTTTATTTTGCAATGTCATTTATTTTTCAATGTAATTTTTAGTATATCTGTTTCAATGTAATTTTTATTTTGCAACATCATGTATTGTTCCAATGTAATGTATTGTTTCAATGTTATTTTGCTTTTGCAATGTAATGTACTTTTGAATATAATTTTAAATTTTCATTATTATTATGAAAAAATACAAACTTATTGAAATGAAGACAATAATTTTTCAATGTATTTAATTTTTTTTTTCAATTTTTCAATTTTTTTATATTGGGTAGATTGTAAATATTTATTTATTTTTTTACAAAAAGTTTGAAAAATGTCACTAAAGACAAAAAATAAACAATAAAAAAATTAGGGTGAATTACACTAACAATCCCTATAATTTCTTTTCAATTGTGACACATTTGACTCTGAATTTTGAATCTTGTTCCGAATAAGGATAATTGAAGATACCATTGCTGAATTTCAATGGCAAAATCGTCAATTTGATAAAATATAAACTAATTTGACAAAAACAAATATTAAAAAAATATTTTTAAATTTTTAAAAATTATTTCTACCCATTAAAGATAAAATTATGTAAAATTAATAAATCTTTTAGACATTTTTTTTTTTTTTACCAAGTTAATTTTTATTATGTGTTTGGATGATAATCATGTAATAGGTGATTGTTAGGATTTTAATGTGTAATCGATATATTTAATATATGAAATATTTTTAGTTTTGGATTTTTTTGATTTAATGGATTTGTTTAATAATGGTATCAAAGTTGTCGAAACATTTGACTTTTGAAAAAATAGAAACTAGTTTAATGAAAATAAAAATAACCACCCATTACATGATCATTATTTAAACACATAATAAAAATTAATTTGGTAACAAAAAAACTATATCTAAAAGATATATCAATTTTATATAATTTTATTCTTTAGTGGGTAAAAATAATTTTTAAAAATTCAAAAATATTTTTCTTAAATTTTTTTTATTAACTTAGTTTATATTTTATCAAATTGATGATTTTGTCCTTGAAATTAAACAATAGTATTTTCAATTGTCCGTATTGGTACAAGATTCAAAATTCAGGGTCAAATATGTCACAATTGAAAAGTCATGGACCAAAATGACACAACTCTCAAACTATAGGGATTGTTAGTGTAATTCGCCCAAAAAATTACTATAAAACGTATATCCAAACAATACCTAGAAAATTGGAGCGAAAATTTGTTGAGATTTGCCAAAATGACATATGACCATTAAAGCATCATTGCTATAATTTAACAATTTATTACTGTTCATTACTAAATTATAGCAATGGCAAATGCTATTATAGTATTTTACATTGGAGATCTCTCTCATAGAGACAGAAAGATAGAAATTATGGATAGTTTAGTTATTTTACAGAAGCATCTCTTTATAGACAGAATAGTTTGGCGGGTAAATTTTTGGGTAAAAGAAATTTAAATTTGGACTTATAAGCATAATGCCAAATTAAAAATTACTAAAAAAAATAATTACCAATATTAATATTTAAAATGAAATTATTAGAACCATCAATAAATCCTAAACATTGATTTTATAAACTGTTTGGTCCTTATTTTTTTTTCTTATTATGGACCTAAAGGTCACATTCTAGTGCGAATTACATTTACGATCAAGTATAAACGCGTGTATATTATGTGTTGAGAGACAAATGTGAATTTTTTTAAAATGTTAAAATTACTAAACGTAATACTTCAAAAAAACTCATTTTCTCAAACGTAATAATGTAACATTATAAAAAAACACTCCTTAATGCATTTTTGCCAAATGAAACACTTCAATCAATGTAACATACAAAAATTTCTTATTATTTTTTTCTCAAATGTAACACTCAAATGTAACATACTAAAAAATTAGTATATATTTTTTAAACGCAACAACGTAACATTCCAAAAAACTACTAAGTGTTTTTTTTATAAACATAACACTTCAATCAATGTAATACACAAAAATTTCTTAATATATTTTTTTCAAACGTAACACTCTAATATGACATTTCAATGTAACATTAGAAAACGAAATGTAAATTTTCACACTCAACAATCAACACTTTAGTTACTAATCTCTTCAAAAAAATCTTCCGCACCTCACCTTTTCATTCCCATCACTTAAACTTAAATAATACCAAATTAAAATATAACTTTTTAAAATAAAAAGTTTAATTGATTTATTAAAAAAACTCTTAGAACTAATCACTATGTTTAGTTTCCATTTTTAGAATTTACTTTTCAGAAAATTTTACTTTTTCGTTTCCATATTTTTTTGCTTCCACTGATTTTTTTTAATATCTTAAGTATTTTTTTTTAATTTTTAAACACACCTAACATAAATATATTTAAAAAGTATAATATTTTTTATTTTTTTTATAAAAAAAATTCACTAAATGCCAAAAAAATAAAAATAAAAATATGAAAATTTTGTGTATTTTTCGTATTTTTGTATATTTATTGATTTTTTAAAATATTTTTCACAAATATTTTATTATTTAGATACATCTAAGTAAGGTACATTTAAAAAAATAAAAAAATATTTAAAATTTTAAAAATATTCATTAAAAATAAAAAAATACGAACAATAAAAAACTCAATTTCTAAAAAATTAAATTGAGAAAATTAAGACCAAACAGACTGAATATTCTCTTATAAAATTTATGAATAAACTTTTATTAAAATATTGATCCAAAAAAAAGTGATTTTTTTTTTTTATCAGAAAAAGGATGCTTTGAGGTGTGATTACTGCATCTATAGGTCTAAGCCTCTGTGTAACCGATTGTCAAGCTTAATTTAACCCAATCTATAGGAATTGACCTACCACCGAAATACCAACAGAACTCAAGCATATGCTATAGATGAACCGATGATTTGATCGGAATATAAAATGAGATTTCTATTAACTTAATTTAACCCAATTTATAAGAACGAATCTACCACTGAAATACAAACAAAACTAAACCATAAACTACAAACAAGTCAAAAATTCGATGAAAATATAGAACTACTCAAATTACTCAACATTCTATCCTCTTCAAAAGTCAAACTTGGGTTACAGTTGCAAAGAAGAATGTCTTTTCTATCATGCCACCACGACAATGCTAAGTAGCTCAAATTTTGTGATTCAAAAGTGGCTCAAATGGTCAAAACGACGTCGATTTGAGTACAGAACAACATAAAAATGATCAAAACGACGTCGTTTTGAGTACAGAACAACATAAAAATGATCAAAACGACGTCGTTTTAGCCATTTGAACCACTTTTAAACCATAAAATTTAAGCTACGAGACATTTTCCCACGCCACCGCCCTTGGTTACCCACCAAAAAATTTTTAAACACACCTAACATAAATATACTTAAAAAGTATAATATTTTTTATTTTTTTTAAAAAAAAAATTCACTAAATGCCAAAAAAATAAAAATAAAAATATGAAAGTTTTGTGTATTTTTCGTATTTTTGTATATTTATTGATTTTTTAAAATATTTTTCACAAATATTTTATTATTTAGATACATCTAAGTAAGGTACATTTAAAAAAATAAAAAAAATGTTTAAAATTTTAAAAATATTCATTAAAAATAAAAAAAATACGAACAATAAAAAACTCAATTTCTAAAAAATTAAATTGAGAAAATTAAGACCAAACAGACTGAATATTCTCTTATAGAATTTATGAATAAACTTTTTATTAAAATATTGATCCAAAAAAAAGTGATTTTTTTTTTTATCAGAAAAAAGGATGCTTTGAGGTGTGATCACTGCATCTATGGGTCTAAGCCTCTGTGTAACCGATTGTCAAGCTTAATTTAACCCAATCTATAGGAATTGACCTACCACCAGAACTCAAGCATATGCTATAGATGAGCTGATGATTCGATCAGAATATAAAATGAGATTTCTATCAGCCTAATTTAACCGAATCTATGGAAATGGATTCACTACCGAAACATTAACAAAATTCAACCATATGCTACAAACAAGCCAAAAATTCGATCAATATATAAAGTGAGATTTTCTTATAGAACTACTCAAATTACTCAACATTTTATCCCCTCAAAAGTCAAACTTGGATTACCGTTGCAAAGATGAATGTCTTTTCTACTATGCCACCACCCTTGGTTACCCACCCAAAAAAATAAAAAAAAAAAGTCAAGTGATTAAGCACCGAAAAATGAAACGTTTATGTGGTGAAACGAAACTGGCCAAAAAGATGACGCACGGCGTGATTAAATTATTACATCGCAGGAGAAAGTTTCGAATTTAAAAAAGAAAAAGGCAAAAAGACATCCAAACGTGAAACGTGGGGTCCTCCGCGCTCCTAATTTCTGCTCTACAAACATCAATATGTGCTGCGATATATTATTGTTGGAGAGATTGAAATCACGAATTTGTATAAAGTATTTAAAACATACAAGAGACAGCTGAATTATAATTAATAAAAAACATAATCACGTAGTTCTGGACCCACCAATAATTTTTACAAAAACATCCATCGTTGGCGGTGGCCAGTTCTTCGCTGTCATCTCTTCATCTCCCACCTACCTAACCCACCTCCCTCCATTCTTGTACCTCCTTTGTCTCACTCTGTTCCCCACTCTCTTCACTCTCTTCTGTTTTGGGGTTTTTTTCTCACCCATCACTTCTTCACATGATATGAAAAGCAAGAAACTGTGAGTAAAACCCTAAAAAGAGAGCTTGATTTGAGTCCAATAATGAAAGAAGATAGTGATTGGGTTATGGTGGGAAGACCTGGAATGAAGGACTTGTGGGAACCGAGCTTGCTTGAAGCAGAGCCTTCGAAGGCTCTGGAAGTTAGGTTTAGTGGGCCTGCCAAGCACTGGACTGATGCTATCCCCATTGGAAATGGTCGACTCGGTGCTATGGTTTGGGGCGGTGTTCAATTCGAGACTCTCAATCTCAATGGTAAACGTAACAGTATATCCCAATTTGCTCTGTTGTTGTTTGGTTGCCTAGAAATGATAGAAAGGGAAGAGATGACAGTGTTTTTGAGTCTTGTTTGATATACTATTATTGTTTATTTTCAAGATTTGAAGTTTGTTCTTTATCTTGGGTTTTGAGTTGTTCAATATTTTAGCATTTGACATTTTGGTTCTTTACCCTTCCTACATGTATTTTTATATAGCCTAAAAGTCATTAAAAAAAAAAAGTTAAAAAACTTGACAAATTATATAAAAAGTCAAATTTTCTCCTTACTTTTAGCATATTTTTTCATAAAAAAAAAAAAAAGTCATCCTAAACGTAATAATTTCTTTTGCCTCATATTTTAATCAAAAAATTGAAAAATTACTAAAAGGAAAATGTTTGAGGGCCACAATTTTTGTGGTCACAATGGCCCAAAACAGTCAAAACGATGTCGTTTTGGGTGCAAAACATGCCAAAACGACGTCGTTTTGGCATTTTTGAGCCATTATGGCCACAAAAATTGTGACCCTCTAGCATTGTTCTTACTAAAATAGCATAATCCCAATAGAGGATTCCTTAAGCTATGTTTGGATCTTGCATTGTCATGGGAAAGGAAAATGAAACTGAAATTATATATATATATATATATATTTTTTTTTCAATTTCTTCTCATTTTTCCTTTCTTTTTCTGTTCACTCCACAAATCCAAGATTTTTTTTTTCCATTTTTTCCCTTTCCTCTTCATAATTCCAAGATCCAAACTCAACTTTAAATGGCTAAAGTAGATTAGTTCAATGTATTTGTATGTCTTGGACTTGAATTGAGATTAGTTCAATGTCTTTGGTGTAGTTGAGGATAGCTCAAACATTAGTGGCCTGTCTTATTAGGCAGATTATAGCATAAGATTAAAATTATTAATTATTGGGACTTACATTCTAGTGTTTGGTTGCAATTTTTGTTATTCGGATTAGATTCCAATGGATATTCTATCTAACAAAATTGATAGAATCCTACAACTTACATGAAAAAAATGATAAAAGGACAAAAATATATATGTAGTATATATTTATGTTTATTGAATTGCAGATATAGAAATGATGGAATCATTTTTTATTGAACCTAATCTAGGTCTCTTATACAAGATGAAAGAAGATAGGCAAGAAATCAAAGAAGAGACTGCTAATGCAAAACAAACATATAATTGGGATTATATGTTTCCATATCCATTGCAAGATGAACGTGCACAAGAGCGGATTATGTATCCCACTAATCCAGTTGGATAACCAATCCTACACTAATTCCATGGATTGTTAATCTCCTCACTATTAATCCTACTAATTAAACATGGCCTAGATGTGTTAATGTATCTATTAATTTGGATGAAACTCTGTTTTATAGCTAGAAACAGAGGAAAGGAGAAGGAAATAAAGGTTTGAATCTAATTTTTCCCTCCAATGTTATGGTTGATTCTGAACATTCAGAATTTATAAGCCAAATAGTTGAAAGTAGGCTAGAGGTTCATTGTTCCTGGGGTCCCAATTCATGTAAAACAAAAAACTCAAATATTTAATATTGCTGCTTTTCCAATAATCTTATTAGAACCCAAACAGAGACCCAATGATGCCATATTAAAATTCAAGGTTATGGAGATAAGTTTGATGAAACTTGTGAAGTTTAACTGTTGTTCTACTCTCTCTCTCTCTCAATATGAAAGTGAAACTGACAGCAGATTACTTGAATTCATTTGGCAGAGGACACACTTTGGACTGGGATTCCTGGAAACTACACAAACCCAGATGCACCAAAGTCACTGTCAGTGGTCAGGAAGCTTGTTGATGATGGCCAGTATGCCGAAGCTACTACTGAAGCGGTCAAGTTGTCAGACAATCCTTCAGACGTATGCTCTACTTTATTACCTTATATTGTGGCAATTTTGGGATCATCAATTGAACCACTTGGATATTATATACAAAAATATGCTATTACTGTAGCATCTGTCCATAATTAGATCCTCGAAGTAGTTCAGGCCAAATTAGAAGTTCCAATTGATGGAGGCATTGAAACATTACATTAACGCTGTGTTTGGATCATGGATTTCTAAATCCCTATCCAAATCCATGATCCAAAAACAGGAATTTAAACCTTGGGCCTTGTCAATGTTGTTATTGGTGGGTGAGCATTCACCACCAATTCTGTGGTTAAACTTCAATAATTGGATGATTGGATACTTTATGCAAACTGATTATGTTCTGTTTCAGATTTTCACTTAAACAATCTCCTTGTAAAGCTCATATAGTTGTGGGTTTGAACCATTGTACATGGGAAAGTTTTCAATGAGCATCTACAAACAAAATTAGAACACCCAAGGTGATTCAAATAAAATACAAAGAGCATATTTACATGAAATTTGGTTAATTTGGAACTTTCTACATCCATTAAAGCTAGCTTACATCTGAGTTGTAATTGACATAGTGTCATATTTGATGCACAAGCTTTGTTTACCAGGTGTGCAGTTTTATATGGGTCAGTATTCCTGATCCTTTGTGAAATTTCATATTTTCTATGATCTTTACCCCCATATCCTTGTGATTTTTCTGTGATGATGTGAAGGTTTACCAATTTCTGGGTGATATCAAGCTAGAATTCGATGATTCTCATGCTTCATATATTGAAGAAACATATTCGAGAGTACTGGACTTGGATACTGCAACTACAAAAGTGAAATATTCTGTAGGTGAAGTTGAATTCGTGAGGGAACATTTTGCCTCAAATCCTGATCAAGTGATCGTGACAAAGATTTCAGGAAGCAAATCAGGGTCTCTCTCCTTTATGGTATCTCTAGACAGCAAACTACATCATCATTCGAGTATAAATGGTAAAAATCAGATTATCATGGAAGGAAGTTGCCCCGGTAAAAGAATTCCACCGAAATTGAATGAAAACGACAATCCAAAGGGTATTCAGTTTTCTGCAATTCTTGATTTGCAGATTAGTGATGTGGGTACTATAAATGTTTTGGATGACAAGAAGTTGAAGATTGAGGGTTCAGATTGGGCTGTTATGCTTCTCGTGGCTTCATCTTCATTTGATGGGCCATTCACTAAACCTTCAGATTCAAAAAAAGATCCTACTTCAGAGTCTCTAAGCACATTCAATTTAATTAAAAACTTGTCATCTGCTGATCTTTATTCACGGCATTTGGTTGACTATCAAAACCTTTTTCATCGCGTCTCACTGCAGCTTTCGAAAAGCTCAAAGAATGTTAGAGAAAATGGGTGTTTGGATAGGAAGAAACATTTGTCCTCTACAACTGATCTGTTTTTAGAAAGTAGTGAAGATAAGATGGTTTCAACTGCAGAGAGGGTGAAATCTTTTCAAACTGATGAAGATCCCTCTTTAGTGGAGCTTTTGTTCCAGTATGGTCGATATCTACTTATTTCCTGTTCACGGCCTGGAACTCAGGTGGCAAACTTGCAGGGAATATGGAACAAGGATATTGAGCCAGCATGGGAGTAAGCTCTCTCTCTCTCTCTCGCTGCATGGTATCTTGTAATTTTCTCCTTGATGCAAGTGCATTGTGAAATCTTTTTTCTTTTTTTCTTCCCCTTTAAGAAATTAGCTTCTAAGAGAGATGGGAGAGAGTTGGAAAGATAGAATTTAAGGCAAATTATGCAAATGGTCCCTGTAATTTACCCGTTTTATCATTTGGTCCCTATTGTTTCAATTTGATCAATTTTGCCCTTAAATTTTACGGATTGTGTCATATTAGTCCAATAAATAACGACGGTTAAGTTTGACGGACGAAAAATCAAATGATGTGTCAATTTAGTTCATGTAATTTATAGGACGTGTCAATTTGTTTCTTGTAATTTATAGGAAAGTCAAAACAATAGGGACCAAATTGACACATCCTGTAAACTATAGAGACCAAATTAACACACCATTTGATTTTCCGTCCATCAAACTTAACTGCTGTTATTATTGGACTAATATGACACAATCCATAAAATTCAGGGCCAAAATTAATCAAATTGAAACAACAGGGACCAAAATGATAAAAGGGTAAACTATAGGGACTACCGCTGTAATTTGCCCTAGAATTTTTAAGCCATAAAAACAGCAGTATTGCCTTTCCCTCTGTACTTCATTTTATGTTAGTCTTCTGATGTAACATAATTTCTCTGCTTCCCATTGATAAAAAAAAGCATATGTATTTTTTGCATCTACTAATGTGACCTTTTCCTTTTTACTCTCCAGTGGCGCTCAACACTTGAATATTAATCTTCAAATGAACTATTGGCCCTCCCTTCCATGCAACCTTCATGAGTGCCAGGAGCCTTTGTTTGATTACATTTCGTCTCTGTCGGTCAATGGAAGTAAAACTGCCAAAGTAAGAATATCTTTCACTTATCAAACATTAACGGTCCTTATGAACTGTTGTTTTTCATTTTGTGTGATCACGTGTGGTATTGTGTACATATGTATATTTATTTTTCTGCAAGCCATCATTTGGAGCTTAGTATTTTTTATCTTTTTTGAAAGACTGAATAAGTATAAAATATGTATGTATCCATATAAAATTTGTACATCAAAGTAGTTAGGTAGGTCAAGACCTAGGATGAACTCTGTGATTGGTGTTTTCCATGATAAATTGTTCTATTTAAGCATTCTATATTCTTTACAAACACTATTGTTTTTATTTAGTCACAGAATGTTACAGGTGAACTATGAAGCAAATGGTTGGGTTGCACATCAAGTGTCCGATATATGGGCAAAAACATCTCCTGACCGAGGTCAGGCTGTTTGGGCTTTATGGCAAATGGGTGGAGCATGGCTTTGTACTCATCTATGGGAGCATTATACTTATACTATGGACAAAGTAAGATTCTATTACTAATATGCTATTTCTATTTCTATTCTCATGCTATTTCATTTGGTATCATATTTAGTGACCTTTGGAATTCTCTTCTTCTTCCTTTCTCTTTGGAGTTACATTTTATTAAAGGCATTTTTGTCTCCTTTCCAAATATATTCTTCAAAAATCCTTAGTGTATGGCAATTGAATAGTTTTTATTTATTTTTTATCTTCCTCATAAAGGACATTTGTTGATCTTGCAATTGTGGACCTAGTTTTGCTCATGATATTTGACTCAAAAACTTTCTGGGGGGAAGTTATTGCTTATCTTTTCAACATAATTAGGGTTTTCTGGAGAGTAAGGCATATCCTTTGCTGGAAGCATGTGCTTCATTTCTGTTGGACTGGTTGATTGAAGGACGAGGAGGATACCTTGAAACCAACCCGTCAACCTCTCCAGAGCATACTTTTATTGCTCCTGATGGTAAGCCTGCTAGTGTGAGTTACTCAACAACCATGGACATGTCAATCATCAAAGAAGTTTTCTCTGCGGTTGTTTCTGCTGCTGAGGTAAAGCTCCTATCCTGAATCAGCAAAAAATCTTGAGTTTCTGTTTTTATCAGCACCTTTTAGACTTTTCAAATGAGATGCTTTATATAAAAAGTTACATGTGAACAGGCGTTGGGTAAAAGTGACGATGATCTGGTTGACAGAATCCGTAAAGCTCAACCACAGATTTATCCAACAAAAATTGCTAGGGATGGTTCGATTATGGAATGGGTGTGTGGATTTTGATTATGAATTTCCAAGTTTTTGTATTTTTAGTTATTCAAGGAAGCTTGGAAGGTTATGTCATTCTAGGGCGTAGAAATAATAAACTTATTTATATTTTCCATCACAGGCACAAGATTTTGAGGATCCCGAACCACATCATCGGCATCTATCACACCTATTTGGCCTGTTTCCGGGGCACACAATTACTGTTGAGAAAACTCCTGATCTCTGTAAAGCTGCCAACTATACCCTTTACAAAAGAGGTTTGCCTCTGAGAAAATTTAGGAAGATTTAGAAATTACTGGCTCAGATGTTCTAAGGACTGTAACCATTTTGTGGTTTTATTTACTTTCATTTTGTTAACTTCTTACTTAATAATTATGAGCTTCATTTTGTCAATAGTGATATTCAGCAATTGTCGAATAGCATCACTTCTAAGTTTCATCGCTGGAAACAGGTGAGGAGGGTCCAGGATGGTCGACTGTATGGAAAACTGCTTTGCGGGCACGTCTTCGGGACAGTGAGAACGCATATAGGATGGTCAAGCATTTATTTAACTTGGTGGATCCTGATCATGAAAGTGACTTCGAAGGAGGACTTTACAGTAACCTGTTCACTGCACACCCCCCTTTCCAGATTGATGCCAATTTTGGGTAAGCAAGGTTTCAATTCTTGTGTTGACCTATATCAGCATTGAGCAATATAAAATGTCGACAACACTTTCTGACTTTGAAGTGTGCCTGGGTGTGTTTAATATTATAATGCAAAGTTTTAGGTTGTGTTTGAACATGTTTTTTGTTACATTGACCTACAATAAGACAGTTCGTAATTCTATTATCTAAGGACCATAGTGTATGTGTCTAAGCAGCCAAGGCCAAGATATCAAGAAAATGTTTTGAATATAACAGGAGAGTGTAGTTTCTTTCAGAATGCTTTCTGTTTTTAGTTAAGAATTTTCAAGATGAGTTTATGGGTCATCAGTAACTACAAGCTACATAACTATGAAGGAATTCATGTTTTCTTTGAACTATGAAAGGAAAAGGGGTTTGGAGATGGATGTTTGAGCATAGCTGTAATGAACTTTGTTTCTCATTTTGAGGCTTAAATAGAAGAAAGGTTTTTGAGTTGTCTGTAAGAGTGTATTTTTTAAGCTTTTTGTCGTGTTTTGCTGGAAAATCTGCGCTATCAAATGCAACGGTTGACAGGGTATGCCTCGTACACCTCTTGTCTACGGGACTAAGAAGCACGGACATTTCTATGGAGTTTGCGTGTCATATCAAACACAACATTCCTAAAAGCTTGTCCGACACTTCTTCAATGTGTCTTAATTAATTAAAATTTTAAATTTATAATTTGAGACACTTTGCAGACTCTTGATACGTATCCTACTAAATTTGAACAGATGCTATATATTTTAAATTCATATATAGCATGCTAGAATAAAAAACAGGAGGCAGAGTTGAAGCAATTTTATTTCGAGGCTGACCAAGCACCCCTGGGCTTCGGCTCAGGTGGTTGAGTAGGGTAACAGGTAATTGGTTAAACAAAAATCCCAACACCCAAAAAATAATGTAAGGTTAATAATGCGCCTGTAGCATTACACGTGCTCTTCAATGATATTATGGAGTTTATGAAGTTAACAATGTGAATGATTGATAGCTGTTGTTGGTGTCAGCTTTTCTGCAGCAGTAGCAGAAATGCTTGTTCAGAGCACGGTGAAGGACTTATATTTACTTCCAGCTCTTCCACGAGACAAATGGGCAAACGGTTGTGTTAAAGGATTGAAGGCGAGGGGTGGTGTGACCGTCAACATCTGCTGGAATGAAGGAAATCTTCGTGAAGTTGGTCTTTGGTCCAAGAATCAGAATTCTATAAGATTACATTTTGGAGGAATTGCAGTTGCAGTGAAAATGTCATCTGCGACAGTTTACACGTTCAATCAGCAATTAAAATGCGTGAAGACATATTCTTTATTGAATGCGGCTTTTCTCTGAACTTGGAGATCAGATTGATCTTACGAAGAGTTTTTTTGCAAGAAACTTGAAGTTCTTTGCTTCATTTTATCCTCCAATTTTTTTCTTTGGTGGTGGGGAAATCTAGTCTTTCCCTCTTTGATTTATTGTTTGAGAGAATTTACAGCCTTATCTCATTACAATTAATTAGGGAAATCTAGTCTTTCCCTCTTTGATTTATTGTTTGAGAGAATTTACAGCCTTATCTCATTACAATTAATTAATAAATTGGTTCATAGTTTAACAAGTTTATGCTTTTGTATTTCATTACTATTATATGTTGTGGAAAAGATGCACCATTGTTTCCAATATTCATGTTGTTCCTTCCTGGTTGTAATTGATTGTGATGTTTCATAGAATAGAAGAAATAAGAGAAGAAAGAAGCCAAAACCAAAATAATTACATGTTTTGTTTAGCAATTTTTTAAATTAATGAAGACTAAAACTAAAACAATAAAACGAAAAAAAAAAACAAACAAACAAACAAACAAACTTACCAACATCCCTTAATTTTTAAGAGAAACTTTAACTTAGTAGGCATTTAAAAAATTAATTATAAATAAATAATAAATTTTATAAATATTAATAATTATAATTATAATTTTTTTTTATGAATATATAATAATTTTATAGAATTATTATTGAATAGTAATTTCTTTTTTTTTAATTTTTAGGTGGTTAGGTAAAGGCAGTAGCTATGAGAAATTCTCTATTTTCACACACTTAATTATCTCAATCTACATCATTTCTTAGTGTACACACTTTGCAATTTAATTATTAATTAACTTTCTCAATCCACAGACTAAGGCCTTGTTTGGCAAGTGACTTTTTTAGTCAAAAAGTCACTAAAAAACTAAAATGCCAATAACTCATACTAAAAAGTCAAATATTCTCTTTTCTCTCTACTTTTTGCACATCTTTTCGTAAAAAGTCAAAAAGTAATCCCAAACATACTAGTTTTTTTTAGCACATATTTTAGCCAAATAGCCAAAAAATTACTAAATTAGCATGTTCTCAAATGAGGTCTAAATGTATCAATTATACCTTTCACTCAACTATTGTATACACACCTCCTCATTCCACACACTAGTACAATTTGGAAATTTGTAGAGCTACAGTGCAACAACAATCCCAAAAATTAGACAAAAAAATGAAAATGCGTAGACTAAATTTACGGAAGTTGTGAAAATCCTGACCTTTGAGAAAGATTAGGCACGGAAAAGATGAGAATGGAAACAAGGCAGCAACCAATGTGAGGCCCAAGGAACTCACGAAAAACCCTGGAAGATTATCTGACCCTAATGATATCGCACCTTCATCACGTAATGGAAGAACCACAAAGTATGCATTTAAAATCTGTAAATCAAAAATTTTGAAGAACTAAAATTACAACCAGCATAGAAATGCCTAAAAAGCACAATTAAGAATTTCCTTTCATTTTTTGAATCGGTATTGCTGATTGTGAGCTGTAGTTGTTTGAAATTATGTATTTATTTCAAAAATTAGATTAGTTTGATAAATTTGTTTCAAAAAAATAAAAAATAAAAAAGTTTCATATCCAAATATAATGAAATAATTTGACACTGATTGTCCGATTGAAAACCGCGAAAGAACCACACACACAAAAAAAATTGTACTAAAAAACTAATATTTTTATCATTAATAGAATATAAATCTAAATATTAAGCAATATGAGAGTTATTATGAGAGTATTACTTTGCAACTAATAGAGGAGTATAAAGTGTGTAGCAAATAAAGTGACAATAATAGAAAAACTATAATTTGATTTTTTTTACTCAAAATATGTATATTGAAATTTTTTTATTTTTAAAAGATATGTACAGAGTATTTTTATATAATATTGTGAATGTTAATAAATATTTATTAGGATCATTTTAATTAAAAATATAATTATTATTAAAATAATATTTCATTAAATATATACACCGACACAATAGTATATGAAATAGAATTGCTCAGCAGCTATTGAAAATGTTTGTTTGCCAAAAGCAATTACTACTTTAATCGGTTGTACCGTACAACTAGCCAAAGAACTGCTTGCTTTGACTAAAGCCCGCAGATAGACAGGTTCCTATTTGACGAGCTAATCGAACGGACCACAACCCATATTGTATAAACTCTCCGATACACCATTCACACCCAAACAATATTACCCTAAACCCTACTGCCCCAAACCCTCCCCCATTTCGTTCACGCTTTCTGTGCTTCTCTATCAACACCACCAACTAGAGAGAGAGAGAGAGAGACAATGGCTTGGCGTGGTTCGCTTTCCAGATCGGTGATCGCCACCGCTAGGTCTTCAACCCTCCGCTCATCGCCGCCTCTCCCCCGCCTCCGTCCTCCGCCGCTCTCCGCCCCTCGCCTCCAACCTCGCCGCCTCTCCTTCACCAATCCCAGGTACTCAAGAGAAAGGGAAAAAAAAAAAAAAAAACCACATTTTCTTTGGCGAACAACCACAGAATTAGTTAATTGAAATTGTTTTTCTTAGATCCAGTAGTTTGATTCGGTTTTACTTCCTCACATTTTCTCAGCAACCAAACAGAAAGCTTTAATTCTTTCCTAGGCTTTTGATTGGAGTTAATTGTGCTTTTCTTATATTGTCATTGTTTATAATCTGATTTTGTAGGAATTTGGGAGAATTAGGCTGTGTGCAATCGCTCATGCCGCTTGTCGCCGGAGCACGCCTCACATCGCACCTGGCCGTTAACGTGCGGGCTTGTTGCGAGCTGTATCATGGTACCTTCTGCCGTACTTGTCAGGATCGCTAGTAGTCTCTTTGTGAGTCTTACTGTTTCTAGGACAGATGACAAATCAAAGAAAATAAATATGTTTCTATTAATATCTAGCATTCATGCACTAATCCACCATATAACTTTGATTTTATGACTGTTCGGTATTGGTTCATTGTGTTGATTTGATCAATGAAAATGAGGGTGGACTACTTAAAGTGTTTGTTAGTTTGTGGATTTTGGTTAATGAAAAGGAATTGGGATTGGGATTGATAGGGATGAATGGAAAAGATGGGTGATGCGCAGCGGTCAGTGGTCAAAAGGCAGAGCAATGATGCCACATTGTAGGTTCCTATTTTTGCTCCTTTTATTTTTCTTTTTTGCATAAATGTGGTTGGAGTTGTTGATGACATGTTAAGAAGTACGGACACAAATACGTGACACAACATGACATGTCAACACAAATTTACACGTGAAAAATATATAATTTTATATATTTATTATAGGTCATATATAAGTGTAAATAATGATTATGTGTTATATATATGAATATTTAAGTTAAGAATAATAATTTTTAAAATCTGAAAGAGGATAATAAGCATAAATTTATATTGTTTTGGTTTTATCATTAATTTCAAGTTGTTCTATTTAAACTTCTAATGTGTTTCATGTGCGTTCAAGTGTTGAGAAGTGTCCAATAAGTGTTGTGTTAGTGTCGTGTCAGATGTTATACAACACTTTACTTTCGTAGAAATGTCCGTGCTCCTTAGATGGCATGCTTAAGTAGAAAAACTAGAATGAAAGAGAAAATTGTAATAAAGAGGTATTGGGTGAATGTGTATATGATATAGTTAATGTATATCGACATGTGTATGAATTCTCGCTTTTGCTGATATTTGTTTTGAAAAGCAGGAGAAAATAAACCAAATAAATCTTCTTTTTTTTTGTGTGTGTGTGTGTGTGTGTGTGTGTAAATCACTGATCATTGCGTAGATATTGGATTTTTTTAGACCCACATTGTCATTTTTGTGGTCTTTTTGGTGTTCTTATACATGTCATTACCTTGATTTTGGTGCTGAGGAAAGTAGATGGAATTGTGTGTTACAGTTTCACTGGTCATTGAGAATCTACTTCATGTAAAAATTCTGCATGTTGTAATTAATTGCTGCTGCTGCTAAAACCAACATTATTCAAGAAGTTAAATTTAATTTGTTTTAAAACCAAAAATTCTGCATGTTTAATTTAATTTGTTTTATAGTGTTGATCTTGGGAGTGATTTATTTATTCATCCAGATCTTCCTTGACATTTTCTTCATCTGTGGAATGTCATCTAAATCCCATTGTTGTTGACCACCTACAAGGGTGGCCACGGACCGTTTCGGGCTTTTGCTAGAAAAAAAATGAAGAATTCTTGTGCCCAAGCTCAGTCCAGTGCTACATAGAATCAGGCCTAAAGAGCACATTCTGTGCTCGACCCTAAATTAATATTACAATCCCAAGCCAGCCCAAATATTAGATAATAAGTAAATGTTACAAAACTAAAAATTAATAGATTTGTATTTGAATTTGGCATAAACTCTTCGTGTTTATACTTTACATCCTAAGTTCAAATTTTGGCGTGTTCATTTTCATAGCTCTTGTCAGGATGATATAGACGAGTCTTCTAGTGACTTGAACCAGTGACCCATTAGCTGTGAGCATAATGACTTTAGTTAACAAACCACAGAACGTTAAGTGGTCATTTTTCAAATGTACATGGCCCATACCACAATAAATAAAGTGAAATTTGTCATAAATTATTTATGCACTGTACACTAATTTATATACATGTACATATTATATATATAATTTATATAATATATTTTCATAATCGGGCCAGGTCTCATGTTATTCCCAAGCCTTGCCCAATAAATAAACAAGCCTGAAAGTTTGGCCCAGCTCAGCCATACGGACCTAAATCTCAATACCAAACCCTTAAAAATCAGGTTGTGTTGATCAGGCCACTAGGCCAGTGCCTCCTTGCACCACTTAATTTGGAAGCTTGAATGCGATTGTTGGTTGGTTGTAGACTGTCGTTAAACTAACTTTGCTCTAGTGAATTGTCACCCCATGCTCTAATTGGTTGCAGACTGTCATTAAACTAACTTTGCTCTAATTGGGTTCTTCTTGCAAGCAGCTTGTCATCTGCTACTTCTTGGTGTAGTGGTTGCACGTAGGAGTGTAGGATATGTGTGAATCAGTAGCATGCCACTTTTTGTCTCTAAATGGTTGCATGTATGTCTCACTGGCTTGTCACTAAATTAACGTGTTGTTATTTTTATATTTCATTAGGAAGTAACCTCTCGTGCCACTTCTATGCCCTCATGAGATATGTGGTGATTTAAACCAATGATCTGTAATTTTCTCTGTTAGCTTAATCTTCCCTATCAAATTTGCGGAGGTTGTTGTAGTTAGTCATGCCGAGGAAGCTCCTTACCAAATAATAAATAAATTTGACTTACAGTCTCTGTATCAAAATCTCTGGTACAGTTGATCTCTAATGACCTGTCCTCTCCCATGTTATACTCTTCTTTGTTTTTTTGTGCAACAACTCTGCCCACATGAGATATGTGGTGATTTAAACCAATGATCTATGATTTGCTTTGGGACCTCTTTTTTATGTGTGCTAATGTGAAGTACTAAATCCCAAAAATTTCGTTGAATGATTTTTTATTTTTTTAAATGTGAATCACCTGCAACATTATTTGCACTTTCTAACAGCAGATCATTGCAAACCGCATTTCTCATGTTACACATAATTAGTTCTATTTAGATTTATATAATGGTCCTTGGATTACAAAAAATTGATGTACCACTTGGATGTAGGTTGCAGCTTTAGGAATATAAGAACAATGGAAATGAAGAAGCTAAGGAAATCTGGATTTAAGATCTAGCATTGATGATTAACTTAAATCTATTCTTATCTCACGAATTTAATTTACTCATGCAATTCTTGAATCTTGGTCACTTCCACTGTGGTTTTAAATTGAAGTCATGTCCTCTTTCACAAAAATTCATTCTGTGATTTTTGTTATATTACTTCTCTGCATACTCAATTGTCCACATGCAATTAAGATTAATGGAAACAGCCTCTCCAAAAATGGGAATAAGTACATTTTTCCCTTTCCAAACCCTACTTTAGTGGGAGCCTTCTTTATTGGGTCGCCCATTAAATAAGGTCAAAAAACTTGTAGTGTCACCTGAAAATAGATTCACATCTCACTGATATATCTTTGCAGAAAGGGGTATAATTTGTAAATAATTTAATTGTGTATCATCAATATAAAGGGGTGGTGGTGGTGTATATGACATTTTAAAGTTTCCTTTTTCCTCTCCTTTTTCTATTTTTTAATATGATCACTTAAATGCCATCTTTTGGCATATAAACTCCAAGTTGACAGAATTTGCACAATTGTTATATCATCGCAGGTACTTGAGCAGATTGTTGGATCAGCACAGTGGGTGCTAAAATTATTTGAGGCAGGCAGTTATAACAGCTAGGTGGGTCCGGTGGGAACTTTGCTTTTGAAGTAGGAAAAACTAATAGTGTATATGTTTTCTGCTCTGTTTTATCTGGAAATGAACTTGAAAACTCCAAATTTTTGTGACAAATCCAACAAACGAAGGTCGAACTATGCTAATGCCTTCATTATGATGATTCATATTTTTAGTTTGTGATTTGTAATGCTCTTTCCGCTTTTTGATTGTTAAACCTACATGTTTTAGCATTGTTCTTGTTGGATTCAAAAATTCATTCCTTTAACCATCTCTTGCATCTACATTGTTCTCCATTTTATAGTAAAAAATTCATGAGAAAGAAAACTTGGAAGTTTTCAAAGGAAGTGAAAACTAGTATTGTTTGTTGCACCTTTTTGCGTTCTAATGTTCATGTATTTGCACGCAAACTATACTCTTGCATCAGATATTTATCACTAAGCATTTCTATTGTGACCTACACTCTGGCTTACGATTTTGTTAGTAGTTTTTCTACATAGGATTGCTGATGTAGGCTAGGCGTTTTCTTTTTTCTTTTTCATAGAAGGGAAAATGAGAGTTAATGGTTGTAGTTGGACTGAATGTGGAGGGGGAAACTTGACCTCTAATGGTAAGTTCAATTTCGGATAAATTCCAATTGTCTGCTGATAGAAGAATGAGAAGATAGCTGAAGGAAGTTGGAAGCTGCTGAAATTTTGATCCTCTCCATTTTATAATGGAATGGAGGTTTTCATTTCATTCATAAGATTATAACACCATCAAAATTTGAAATCAACGGTTTTTAGTTATCAAGTCATTGTAATTTAAAAAATTCTTCCTAATTATAACTTAAAAAATGACTTTTAATGTATATATCTTACCGTTATTGATCGTAGAATGGAAAGTATATATTTTCGACTTCCACTATCCTGGATTTTTGGCAAATTGTTCAATATCAATTAATATCGATTGTACAAATTGTATACATACATACATTATGTGTGGCTACCCTATGGCTTATGGAGAATCAATCTCAGGAATGGTAAAAAAAAGGAAAAGCTAAACCTTTTAAGTAGAGTCGAGTGGTCCGTTTGATGCCACAGCCGGTCCATGATTCTTTCAGTGGGCAGTCAACTCTCTCTGTCTCTCTGTCTCTCTCTCTCTCTCTCTCTCTCTCTCTCACTTGCAACTTTGACATTACTTTTTTAAAAATATAATTTTACTTTACCATTTTAACAATACTCTACAATTTGGAGATAGCTTGGAAAGCGAAAGTCAAAATAATTAGCACTTTTAAAAAATTTGTTGAATAGCCACAACCGAAATGGGGTTAGTTAAAATGCTTAATTTGATTTTTTTTATAGAGCTTATTGGAGATGCTCATAGTTCTACAATTTTACATAAAAAGTTCCCAGGGTTTGGAAAAAAGCTACAGATGATGACCAGGAAAAAGCAGACTTGCATGTGTACAATATATATACACATTCATGAGGTGCCTGGACTTTTGTTCCTATTAATTCTCCAAAATTTGTAGTCGCTTCTCATATTGTAATTACCAGGTATGAGTCCTGAGAGTTGTCTTCCAAAAGAGTGGAAAATGAAATATTTTGACTCTGGGTCCATTAAAGTTGGAATTAAGGCATTTCTAGTAACTTTTTGATTTTTTTTTTTTTTTCTTCCAGTTTTATGGAGAAACTTGAATGTGTGATGTATATGATTGACTTTCTTTGTGACATTCTGGATTTTTTAAATAATTTTTAGTTTTTTTTAAAACCTAAAAATCAAGTCTCCAAACGAATTCTTAATAAGCCTTAATTCGGCAAGTACTATAATTATAATGATGATAACTAATAACAAGACCTTAAAGAAAGTCCTCTTTGGCTTTAATGTGTTGAGCTCTTCTGATGATCTCACAATTGTGATCCTACCCCCAAGATTCTTACATACACTTTGCTTGGCTAGAGTTATTCAAAAATACTTCACAAAAAATTTTACTTTTTTGTTTTTCCTTTTTTTTTTTTTTACTAAATTTTTTTTAATATTTTAACCATTTTTTAAAATTTTTAAACATGCCTAACATAAATATACCTAAAAAGTAAAAAATTTGTAAAAAAAATCTTTTAAAAATTCACTAAATACCAAAAATACAAAAAAAAAAAAACGAGAATTCAGTACATTTTTTTATATTTTTATGTATTTATTAATTTCTTAAAATATTTTTTCACAAATTTTTTATTTTTTAGATATATCTAAGTAAGGTGCATCTAAAAAAGTAAAAAAAAAAAAGTGTTTAAAATTTTAAAAATATTTACTACAAACAAAAAAACACGAAAACTAAAATATTCAATTTTCAAAAAATTTAATTTAAAAAACTCAAACCAAACATAACTTTCAAAAAGGTGCACGATCCACTTGATTAATATCTAATCATAACAAGAAAGTTTGTTTACCATCATACAAGAGTTTAGATGAACTTAAGTATTTAAATTTGATTTGATTTTTGTGTTATAATCATCAATATTGTATTTGGCTTAACAATTTGACAAGGAATTTAGAAAAAAAGAAAGAAAAAATATAAATAAAATGTGAATAATTTGCATGATTTTCCAAAAACAAGTTTTAGAAAATTCTACTTTCTTATTTTTCGTATTTTTTTGTTTTTACTAAATTTTTTTAATATTTTAAAGAATTTCTTTAATTTTTAAACACACCTAACATATATATACATAAAAAGTATAATTTTAGTGAAAAAAATCTTTTAAAAATTCACTAAATATCAAAAAAAACGAGAATTCAATATATTTTTTATATTTTTATGTATTTATTAATTTTTTAAAATATTTTTTCACAAATTTTTTACTGTTTAAATACACATCTAAAAAAGTAAAAAAAAAATGTTTAAAATTTTAAAAATATTCACTAAAAACAAAATCAAAAAAACACGAAAAATAAAAAACTTAATCTTTAAAAAATTTAAAACCAAAAACACATTATATTTCACATTTTTTTTTTCTTTTTCAAATCCCTATCCAAATTCATGAATCGAATACAACAAACAAGAAAATGAGAAGTATTTGCACAATGAAAAAACTCGAGTTCAGACATCCCACGTAGTTAAACAACCTCCCATCTTTTCCAACATTCGTGTCCACTCCACATCATCTTTTTTTGTTTTTGTGTGTGTGAGGGAGAAACAGACAGAAGTGATTTTAATGCATTTTGCATTTCCACCCAACAAATTTAATGGGAAGCCGAGATTTGATTGTCTTCTCTTTTGTTTTTATTATGCATTTTGCATTTCCACCCAACCAATTTAATGGGGAGCTGAGATTTGATTGTCTTCTCTTTTGTTTTTATTATAACAAAAAGAGAGAGAGAGAGTACAAGTGGACGCACTTCTCCTAGCGTGCATATGCAACAGTGTAAAACAAAGCACCACAAGCAACAGCAGATTCAGAATTCAGATTTTAAGAGGCAAATACATATCTAGCTTTTTTATTTTTTAAAATTATCTTACTATTACTAATATAATATACATAATTTTTACAATTTTTAAGGTGCGACTTGCACCACTCCTAGATCCATCCTTGACAACAAGTCTGAAAGGAATTGCCGAAAATCCCCCAATGTGAACATGAAAAGTTGAAGCACCACATAGAGACAGACAACACTCATTGTTGAAAGTGAAACAACAATGTAAATATGGCAAGATACCCACTTCATCTTATTTCCTACCTTTTATCCTCCATTATTATCAAATTCCTCGAGGCAGGCCCCCACCAATTCCCCATTAAAAAATTAAAAATTAAAAATTTTCATAATATAAATAAATAAATAATTCTTCCCTCACTCATCAATTCAACATCTACATTCTGTATTGGAGTTTATTGTTCACTCACCTTTTTTGTTGTTTCGTTGGATACACATGGAAGTCGTAGTGTGATGAAGGTGGAAACATGTGTGACAAAACTTTAATCAAACTTTAATCTTTGATGTTCTAGTGAGGTGACCTCGGTTGATTACTATAAGGCGATGTTTGTTTTGTTGGACTATTATATGGGATAAATTGTCCTGCGATTATTAATCCCTTGGAATTACACATCTCTCACATTTGGAATGTCCCTGAATTATGAGAGGAGAGATCAGTAGAATCATATCTTATCCCATATTTATTTGAAATCACTAGACTTAAACTACATAATGTAATGACCATAATAACACCCCTCAGTTCGAGCCCCTCTTAATCCCTCCAATTTGTATCTTAGCCCCCATGGAAATCAATAGTCCCCATATCAATTCCGGGTGATGGTTAATAAGGGTAAAAAGTCCACTTTTGTTTTAAAAAATGGGATTCGAAATTAATAAGGGTAAAATAGTCCAATCCGATAGTCTTATCTCTAAACAAACACAGCCTATCGAGAACCATGTAAAGTTGGTGTGATTAGAGAGAGAGAGAGAGAGAAGTGAGGAATCCTAAGATTGACATGGGAACAGTAAACAATGAGGGCAGCATTGTGTCCTGGAAGGCCAAGCATCACTAGGTGGGGACTCTGAATAGAACTCAGCTAAAATTTAAAAAGTCCATTTCCCCTTTCCCTTGTGATACCTTTCCTCTCCATTTGTTAATCCCTCCTTGATCTGGATTCCATTTTAAAAGTCAGCTACAGCTAGCTACTCCACAAAAGCCTCACCGTCCATCATCTTCTTTCAAAACTCTATTCCAATTTGAGGGTTGTGAAGAAGATACACTCTTCCAGAATCAATAATGAAAATCAGTGAAAACAGCGACGAAGGAAGAACCCTAAATGTTAATCAGGGACAGTGGTTGAATTTGAGCCTAGGAAGGAATCCAGATACAACGACACCACTTGGAGAATCCAGCTCACAATCAAGACCTATTTCCACCAAGGTGTTTTCATGTAACTTTTGCAAGAGGAAGTTCTATAGTTCACAGGCGTTAGGAGGTCACCAAAACGCTCACAAGAGGGAGAGAGGTGCGGCTAGAGGATACCCGTCTCAGAGGATGATGACAATCATGAGCTTTCCCTCCTATACTTCCATGGACCGATCACTTGGTGTCAGACCTCACTCCCTCGTTCACAAACCAAGTAGAGATGGAACAACAATTGTGGGAAGATTTAACGACACTAATACAGGGTTTGGAATAGCATGGGCACCACACATAGTGGAGGAATCGATGGATTTGATGTGGCCGGGAAGCTTTCATTTAAATCGACAGCCACCAGAGCAACCATCAGACACCCTTACAGTTGACTTGAACCTCCGGTTATAATCCTTCTATCCTTCTTCCCCACTTTGGAATGCTTTTCTTCATTTCTTCCTATCGGAATAGTTTTTGAGTTATTCTTCCCCACTTGACTTCTGGTGCACTATGCTAGTCTCCAAGTTTGAAAGGTTCATTATCCTTTCTATTGCCTTCAAGCTTTGTTCTTGTTGTACTTTATAATAGTTTATATAGCGTTAAGAGTGTACCAACTCGAATAATGAGAAAAATTTTGGAAGAATATTTCCAAGTAAATATGCATCACAAGACTCAGAAACTCCAAATTGTTTTGAACATATACAGTAAGTTCTGACAATAAGCTGCAAATGACTTCTAAAAGAAGTAACTGTATATGAATATACCACCGTGGTTCTGCCAAGAAGTGCAAAAAAACTATGACAACAAAGGGGAGGGGAAAAAAAAACTAAAAACTTTCTCCATGCGAGACGATTTCATAAAGATTGTGTACTTCATACTCACTTCCAAAGAAACGAGTTGCAAAAACTGGTCTACCTATAAGAATTCTACATTTTCTTGTCCTTCTCTACTTACTATTGATGGCTGACTAAGCCATATTTCCAGGTTCTGCATCTGTCTCAACATAGCATAGACATGCAAGAAAGTTTAGTTTTCTTGTCCTTCTCTACTTCCTATTGATGGCTGACTAAGCCATATTTCTAGGTGCAGGAAACTGCATATGTCTCAACATAGCATAGACATGCAAGAAAGTTTAGTTTTGCACCATTTAATTACTTTCTGTACCATTGGATATCTATCGATGAAATAGCTCTTGATTTCTTTTGACTGGCTAGAAATTTGGCAAGCTCAAAGGTTGTTAAAGGAGTATGAAATCCAGCAGTGAGTTTTGCCAGATTTTAGTCGCACAAATTTACAAGGGGTGTAAGAAAAAAATATATTACAGTATGTGTATGTTGATTCTGTCCTACTTAGCAATTACAAGATATTACCATATGTAAAAGTAAATTATATGGCATGGCATGTTCTCACTTTCTCAAATTCATAATGCTTCTGAGTTCCTAGCTCATATAGTCTATTCCCAGATAATTATTACAAACACTGCCAATGTGTGTGGTGTTGTTCTCATTTTGTTTCTCTATTGCATTCTAGTCACATCCCAATTCCGTGCCAACGCTCGCTTCTGCTTCCTACACACCACACTTTACTTGTGTAACAATTACATAAGCATGCCTGTGAGACATATTTACTAAAATGTTTTTAAAGGCATATAATAACTCAGTAATCAAACATAGATGTAGGAACATAACAATGTACAGGCAGGCAGATACCATAAAAGATATTATAACTGCTATATAGAAATAATTTGTGTCTTTTACATGAAGATTCAGTACAGTTTTGATCCATATAATCACAATGATTAATTACAGCCTTACAAGTTACCAGGGATTTTGAGCTTTTGGGTCTTATGCATGATGACTGGAAGCCTCTCGCTGATGATGCATGGATCGATATATGCCACAGAATCTGAAGGATAACCTTTCTGCATCATTTAATAAGACAAGTCAATGCATTTAAACTGGTTAAAGTTATAATTTGAAACATGACGAAAGCAAACCTGCTACATTTTCCATCAACAAGCAGATGAGGTGCTAACAAAAATAAAAATAAAATTTTGGGGGCATTATCCTCACCTTAATGACAGCCTATAAAATTTTCATTAGCATGACTCATCATTGAAAATGTTATGAGGCTCGACCACTATGGACTGGCATGTGATGTTCTGTTAATCTCTTACAAAAAGCATGGTAATCTTGATGGGTGCTTATACACCCCAAATTGGTGTGAAGAAAATTTTGGGGTGTTTATTTAGTAGCACCCAATTTTGATATACAATTACCATAATGCCAACTTGAGAGGGTTTATTAGAGAAGCTACAAATGAAATTCATAAAAACAAAAGAAGTGGAAGATAATTTCCACGAGAATATTAAATTAGAAAGAGGATTGTTTCTTTAAACTTTCAGAGAAACAGATGGTAATCTCATTAGATGAACAAAGTGATACTACATTACATCTCTTCAGCTCCCCAATATCAAACAAAACCAGACAAGCATATCCATCTATAAGAGGGTGACAACAAGGAAAGACATAATTATCATATCATATTTATACACGGAAAGAACAAAAAACCCTTGCACAAGAGATTGTAAACTTACTGCGGACAATTCTTGAAATGTAGCTTCTCTCCAACAGATCTCTCGAAGAATGATGGGGTTTGTACTCTTCGCAAAAATGCAATGCATACGCATATCCCTTAATCTCATAAGCACTCCGTCAACTCTAAGCTGTAGAAGAAAGACATAAAATCTCTCAATTCATAAAATAAATATATTTAAATATTTTCTAGTATTGAATATCAGAATCTCAAAGATTAAAGATAAAATGAAAAAATTATCTATTGCCTAAAAAGCTTTATGTTGAAACTTTATGAACTGAAAAAGTTGAACTCACCCAGAAACGCAAGAGAAGATACCAAGAACTTGGCATTACTCTCTACAAAATCACAAAGTCTGATCAGTCCTCAGTCATCCCAACATTGTGAAGGAAACTTATATAAAAATAAATAAATAAATAAAAAGAAAAGAAAAAAACAAACAAACAAAATCCTAACATTGTGAAGAAAGCTAAGCATATCCATTATGGCTTTATACAGTTGAAAGAGTTAAGATTTTACCACTTTTACAGTTAAGAGTGAAACACCATTATCGGCCAATTCATCTTCATACAAAGTTACCTGTTGAAGTATAACAATAACATTGGTCATGGCAGAAAAGCATATAACAGCCGAAAGATGATATAAAAATGCATGTCAATCTGCTCCTAGTTATCTTCTCTGTTGCCAACCTCATCGTAGAAGAGAATAGACTCTATTGGTGCCAGTGCAACCATATCAAGTTCCTCCTTGCATTCCTCCCAATGAAGACTGCAGTTTCCCTCTTTGGAGGTTGCTTCTCTTCCTAGCTGACCATTTAAATAACAGCACTACTAAAATTATTTGATATGATAGAAGTGCCAATAATATAACAGGCCAGACTCTAAGCATAATTAGCAGCCCTTCATGTTTTTGACGGATTTTCAGTAAATCTGACTGAAATATCTGATAACATGATATTGAACAATTGAAAGGGATTCACATGAAACAATGTAGTTAGCAATGACTCATTACAAAGAAAAAATAAATTTGTAAGCAATAACCAAGAATTGGCTCAATAACTTTTTAAAAAAAAAGAGTGAGAGAACTTAAAGAAAGAGAAAGCACACACCTTTGCATTTATCTCAACAGTTTCACTTCCACAATAAGGTGTTGTGAAGGTATAGTCATAATCCAGCATCACCAGCTGGAAGGACTTGCTGCAAATATACAAAGAAATGAGAATCAGGAAAGCAATTCTTCTGCAGACTGTTATGAAGGGGGTTGGGGAAGAAGAAAATAAAGGAGCAAAAATACATCTCAGTTATCGCACATCATAACGTCAATTTTAACATAATGACAATGGAAAATACAAAACAGAAGTTCAGACCCCATGTCCAAGGGATCAATGTGAGCAAATACAATGTAAGGATGGAATGTGTAAATTGATACAACTTATGGCAGAGATGCAGATTAGTACAACTTATGAGAAGTATCACAAAGGCATCCAAGACAAAAGAGGCCTTGCTGTCCCCTGAGGTGACATTCTAACCAACTTCTCAAACCAGCAAAGATGGAATGCAAAATAAGAGAGTGAGAGAGAAAGAGAGAAGGGTATAGGGATGGTTTGCTTGATGGAGTAATTCCTTCTTATAACCATGAAGGTGACAAGGCCCTTTGGAACAACGCTGACATTGGTCAGTAAATCTTACTAAGAGTAGGTTTGCTTCACTTTTCAAGGATGTCTGGGATAGGCAATTTAATCTATATATCACTCTCGTGCAATTGGTGTTGCAGATTTTAGTGACTGCACAATTGGACAATACAAAGGCTGATTATCTTGAAGGCCAATCTGAAATTTCGGATAGCCCATTGGTGGCATTACTTGAGGAACACAAAAAGATAATAGGCCTATCGAACAACCTTATCAACTATCAAGTTGTGACTTTCACTTGCTGGCATGAATATCCATACAAAGAAGATTGTCAAGTCCAAACATGATACTTCTAGAACTACAGACTAGAAATACTTACTCCATACAGATAGTATGCCAAGATGAATGTCCCTAATATATCTTTTGTCTGTCTTTTACAAACTGGATTCAATTGTAATTGCTCATCATAACAAGATTCTTACTACTTGAGTAATTATGATTCTTTCCCTCTGATGCTTGAGGCTTCATCAGCCATTGTCCTTGAACAGGAAGAAAAATGTGCATCCATTGACTTCCAAATTTCCAGTGACTTTTTTGTCTTCCTAACATATTTTCCCTTTAGTTGAAGTAAATAAAGTACATCCCACAGGAAAGTTCTAAAAGATTATTCATGAATTAGTTCCCAAAGGAACTAATGGATATCCACCTAATTCTCTGCCTTAGAAGTTGGATTCAGAATTGGTCAACCAATCTCTTAAATTCATAAATTCATGCATTTGAATCTGATTAACTTGGGTAAAGGAATGATAGGGTGTTAACAACAAATATATACAGATACCCAACTCACCTTCTGAATTTCCAATTTGCTGCTGCAGGAACTTGGACTGGTGGCAATGCTTCCTGCTTCCAGCCAGTTAGGGCGTCAAATGCATTAAAATAAATCTTTGTGCCGCTATTCACATGTTTAAGAACCAAAGAACTGTCCCCAAAAACCATCTCTGGCAAGTGGGATGACTGAAGCTTATGTTCCCACCTGCAAACAAATCAAGTACAGTATTCAACTCGTAACAAATTTATGCACTCCAACAATTCCAGCAAATGGGACAGTAGATCAATTTGATCAAGAGAGAAACTAAAAATAAAAATAGAAAAACAAATAAATTGTATATGAAATGACAAATTGTATGACAGGACACAAGTATTGGTTAGGAAAATTACATGGTTAAATTAACTTAACCCAAAAATAAATAAATAAATTAAAAAGGAGTCATGCATGCTTGGAGTTGAGAACATTAGTGTTACCAACTTCTTCAACAAGAAACAATGTGGAATCATTAAAAATAATGACTACATAACCTTATGCCTTTTTACACAAGTAACATATTTTTGAACACATTGCTATTCTCATTAAGAACTTCAATATAAAATCTTTTGTAGGTTTTGTTTAGAAAACTAGTAGAACCAAAAGAGAGATATCCCAGTGTTTAATTGGTCTATGACCACATCCCTTTGCGTGCACCACTCCACCAAGCAATGTAAATATGGCCTCTGATCATCATCCATCAACCTTTAAAAAAATGGGATGGCCACAAACAATTGCCTTATCTTTAATGACAAAAAAATTCTTACTGGGGAACAATTAGGTAGATTTTCCATTTGGTTTCTAATTTTTCTTTACCAAAAAAAGTAAAGATATCTTTTAATAATATTCCACCCTTAGTAGCGTGTTAGAAACATGATGCCACACTCTTAAGTAAGAAACTTGTAAGAAATTCACTCCCAACTGGGATACAAGTTCTCAAATATACAAATCTCACCGAAACAAAAGAAAGCAATTCAAACTTTATTATAATAATTTTTATTTATATAATATTTATTTACACTTCAAGAATTTGTAATTGACACCAATCTCTAATATCTATTCATATTTTAGCACATATAAAGCAGAAAAAATTAATTATTAGCGTTTACTTATATATTTGATATATAAAATATATAGTCTACTATAGGCGCTTCCAATCTTAAAAAATTCTATATGCCCTGGCTTCCTCGCCCCTCTCCTGCTTGGTCTCTGCCCCTGCCTCTTTCTATTAAGATTCCACCAATGTGACTCAATCCTTTGGTTAATCAATTAATTGCGACATGAAATCTACCAAAATCTCTCAATCACTCTCTTCTACAATGCAATTAATAAGAAAACAATGCTACATGGACTAATTTAAAAAAGAGAAAAGTACACTCTCTTTGAATTGCAATTCTAGAAATACTTATTTCTGATTTCAAGAGAATATACGAAATCGAGATTTCCACTCAAGATCAACAAATAAATGTTTTACAAAAATGCAGACCAAACCAAACGACTCCTCAATCATGACAATGATGCGAACGCTAATTCCATTACGCTTACGCATTGGGGAACTTTCTTTGATCATACAATACAAATCCAAAAGAAAAGCAAGTATATATATATAGAGAGAGAGTGTGTACTGTTGGAGGTGGAGAGATTCGAGAATGGGACGCTTGAGAGAAACGATCTCCCAACCGTGCATGCGCAATCCACGGCGGAGCTCAACTCCGTCGGAACAAAGCTCAGTCTCTTCCAATTCATACTCCATATTCTCCGGCTCGGACCTCCGCCTGAAAATTCTACCTCCGTCGTTCTCTTCCGCTTCCACGCCCACCACCACCACCACCACCACAACCGTCTTCTTCCTCCGAGCAAGTTTGTAACTGGACAGGCTTGTTTGTTTGTTCTCTCTCCTGTGCCTGTCGCAGAGAGTTTTGTCTTCGTAGGCCTTCCTCCTTTCTTGGGCCTTTGTTTGGAGAAGCGGGTTGAACCCTCCATACATGGGCCATAAAGAAAATTTGGGCTTTCATTACCATCTAAGGCCTCGTTTTTAACTTGAGAGAAAAAATCTTGTTTTCGTTATTGGTCCCGTTTGATAGAACTGTGGAAAAGTGATTATAGATTATAACTTAACAGATTATAACTTACAGCTGTGAGCATAAACTGGTAACCTGTTTGGTGTAACTGTGGGATTATAGATTTAAGTAGCAGAATAGTGTTTGGTAAATAAACTGTAAAATAGTTTTTTCTGTATAATTGACCTTTTTGCCCTTATATGATATAAAAATGATAATTTTTTCATTTTTTTTTCAATTTTAATTTAAAAAAATTATTTAATTAATAAAAGTTAATATAATTAGTATTAATTAGTATCAACTAATATAAAAATTGATACAGTTGATAAAAATGTAATGGAAGTGTTATTGTAATAATTTTTTGTCACTATAAATTAATTAGTATTAATTAATTGCTTAATCAGTATCAATTAATACTAAAATTATTAATTAGTATCAATTAATGGCTTAATTAGTCTAAATTAATACTAAAATTATTAATTAGTATCAATTAATATTAATAATTAATTTTTATTAGTATCAATTAATATTAATAATCAACAATTGTTATTAATTAGTATCAATTAATAATTGTCATTTTTGCCCTTATGAACATAAAAATTGTAATTCTTTTTTTTCTTATTTTCTTTTCGCTTCTTTATTTTTCTTTTTTTCTTCTCTTCTTTCTTTTTGTTAATTGTAATTCTGTTTTCATTAATTTTTTTCATTACAATTAATAATATAACAATTGTCATTACAATTAGTATTAATTAGTATCAATTAATATAAAAATTGATACATTTGATAAAATTATTTTATTATAAATTAATTAGTGTCAATTAATAGCTTATTTTTATTTTTTCATTATAAATTATTATTTTCTTTTTTTCATTATAAATCAATTAGTATAAAATTATTTCATTATAAATTAATTAGTGGCAATTAATGACTTTTTGTAATCAATTAATAATAAAATTATTAATTAGTATTAATTAATATAAAAATACTGAAATTAATACTAAAAATACTAAAATTATTAATTTTTGAAATCAATGTTAATAATTAATACTAAAATTATTAATAATAATGGCTTAATTATTATTATTATTCTTTTATTAAAAAATACTGAAATCTGATCGGAGAGTTCTCATCGGCGCGCGCGAGAGAGAGAGAGAGATCCGATCGGCGACGTTGCACCCAATCTGCCGCGATCTGGCGATCGCGATCCACCTTTCGAACCCGACGACAAAAAACCCTAGGTTTGGTGCCATGGATGTGCAGAGAGAGAGAAAGTTCGCCGGAAATCGCGATTTGCCACGATTTGGTGATCGCGATCCACCCTCCGAACCCGACGATGACAAACCCTAGGTCCGGTGCCATGGCTGTAGCAGAGAGAAAGAGAGAGAGAGCAAAGGAGAGAGATCTCCGGGTTCACCGGAAATCGCCCGAAATGGTCGAAAATTGCCAGACAGAGAAAGAGAAGAGACAAAAATGAGATTTTTTTATTTATATAACCGTAATTGTTGAAGTTTTGGAGGGGCATTTAAGTCATTTCATGCTCCTCCAAATAGATGCGCGCTTAAGCCGAAATTAGAAGCACCTCCGAAGCAACTTGAGGAAATTGGCTTAAAATGACTTTTTTTAAGTTATAATTTGCTGGTTTAACTTCCACCAAACAGATCAAAATGACTTAAGTCATAAGTTGAAATAAATTGAAGTTAAGTTCCATCAAACAGGCACATCATGATTTTTTTTTTTTTTTGAAAATTTAGAGTCCTCTAACATAAAATTTGCTTATTATTGTCTTATTATAATTATTATTTTTTTTCAAATGATCAAGTAAAAAAAAATATAATAAAATAAGTTGATTTTTCTCAATCTAAAATAGCATAATCTAAACTAGCCCTAAAATAGGTAACAGCTAGTAAACAAAACCCTGCTTACAATAGAATATAGGGGTAGTAGATAAGACTGAACATGAATTAAATTGATTCAATTAGTGCTAAACTCAAAACCGAATCCACCAATCAGCTTAGTTTCCAATTTTTTATGCCTCGAGTCAAACCATTCCAACTTGAAAACTAGCTCAGGTTGGAATCAAAATCCCACATTAAATCTATTTTTTGAATGCTCATTATAAAATATAATTTTACAAAAACATAATAATAATAATAATAAATAGTTTTCAAAGTAAAATTATTAAGGTCTAAAATTTACATAATGATAATGACAACTTTCACATAAAGTGAAGTTCAATTGAATATATAAAAATTTTAATATGTAAAGTGAAGTTAGGTTGGAATCAAAATCCCACATTATGTAATATCTTTTTATTTCATCTTAACCATAATACTTAATAATCCAATTCTTTATAGCAATTCTTTTATCCTAGGGTATAATTTTATGCCCATAGTTTCATCATTTATCCAATATTTTATTCTATTCATTCTCATAGTAAAACTTATATTCCATAATTCTATAATAATTCCATTCATATCTAGTCCCATAAAGAATAATCTTCATGTCAAACGACTCCACAAATACTAAAGATGAAAGATTAACATTATTTTACTAAAGTAAAACAATCCATCCATCTATCTCCAAATTATTATTTAAACATGATTGCTAATACTGAAAGGTCATGACTTGCACAACCACTAGCTCAGCTGTGGAACTGAACATCATCTAGAAGTTACTGGACTGCTTACATTTGAAAAAAAGAAATTTAAAAAACAACAAATCTTGAAAAACTTGATGTTTTGTTCTCACTACTGAGATATACAAATATGTCTCATGTTTATCGTGGACTAACAAACACTATATCTGAGCAGAGCGATATTAATACGATCTACATCCTATTCCAAATCCAGAATTATTGATCATGTGTACCACATAACAAGATTCTCACATGTAAGCCATCAATGCCTTCCATTGATATTCTAGCAATTCTCTAAGATGAGGAAATTCCATTCCACTCCATAAGTTCTCTTAAAAAAATTTGAGGTTGACTGCTTTGAAATCTCATCAATGCTTATTCATAGATGGCCTCGAAATAACTCAAAGGGATTTCGGAGGGAGAAGACAAAGCTGTAACACACTTGAACTGTTCAAAAAAAAAAATCAAATTAGATTATTGCTTGTATATATGAGATAATGTCACGGCCTAAATTGCTAAAGACCCGACTCCCATAAGTTTCTGCAACTTTTTGTTGATAAATATTAGTGCTGGAAGTTAATGGCTATAAAAGAAACTTAACCAATACCCAATCAATTGCATCCAATTATAGGATCTAAATCTCCTCAGAAAAGATAAGAACTTGTTTGTTTTTGTTTTCATCATTTTCCAAAAACAAAAACAAAAACAAAAAAAAAACACCCTAGTTTGGCAAACTATTTCTGGTGTTTCAGAAAAATTGTACGAAAGCAACCAACTTTTTAATAATAAAAAAAAAGTGTTTTTGAAAACTGTTTTGCCACAAAAATGATAATAATATGAAAACGAGTATTTTCGTACTCTGTTTTTATTTCCAAAAACCCAAAAACAAAAAAAATGAAAACACAACCAAACATGCCCAAAGATTGTGAGTTCATCATGCTACAACAGTGCAAAATGAAGATGGCACACTGTTATCCAATACAAAATGAAATACCTTATGCTGCATGTATTTATCTCTTACTGCTTCAAAAGATATTCCTCTTCCACTCAATTGCAAATCATGAATGGCGAGGACGCATTCTTGCAATTCTGATGGTCTATAACCTGAGTAGTTTTCCAGTGCTAAGTTCTGCAAAATGTATAAATAATACATGGATAAGTTTATAAAAACAAAATTTAAAAAAAATGTATCCAATAAAACTTGACAGAGATTGATATTACCCTACGTAAATTTACTTTTGCATTTATTTTATAGAGCTAAAGCAGAATCATTAACATAATCTTTAGTTTGTCACCAATCCAAGGAATTCCTAACTTTTTGCGGTGTTTTCACAGATTAAGTTTACCTAAAGATTAAGTTTAGTGCCATTTAAGATTCAGTAACCTATTTATTGACCTACCAGCTTAAATCTTCAACACAAGAAGAAAACTACAATGGAAACAGTCTATTGCACCGGTAAATAAATGGAACTAGTTCTTACCCAAGGATGTATCTTAGGTTCAATTGTGAATCTAGAAAGAAAGATGGCTGAAGCAGCAACCAATGATGGCAAGAACCGCAAACACCCATAATCTAACAAACTTAACTCTGCAAGGTAACAACCCAAAAACTCCATTTGCAAATCGACAAACTAGAATGGACAGAAAATACTGAATCAGTGACAATCAAAGCGAGAAAGAAGAATAAAAAAAAGAAACATTAAATCATAATAATAACAACTATGTCAAGAAGATGGCCTACATTGCAATTCTCTTGAAAAGTTCTAGTGAAAATTCTGCAAATCCACCAAGAAAATTGTTATTGGTTCCACAATAATTAAAATGTAATCACAAAGGCAAACGTAACAACAGCATCACTGTCAAAATAAGTAGTAATGAAAGAAATAGTAGGATTGCAAAATGACAATGTTTCTACCTCGTAAAATTTTTTATTGTGGGAGTACCCATCTCATAGTTCAAAAAGTTGAGGACATCTCGCTCCATCTTCACCACCTGCACAATCACCCCCCAAAACATGTACAAGCGTTGATAGATTTTATTTGTGGCAAAAAAAAAAAAAGGCGAAGACAAATTCGTGAGGGACAAACTCACCTCTTCCTTTGTATAAGTATTATCTGTTATATAGCAAAAATCTTCAACATGGGGAGGACTGATCTCTTCATATTTGCTGCATTATCAACCATAAAAAAGTACCATTAAGAGAATCAACTCACGTAATGACCAAGACAAATAAGAATATATACGATGGGGTTCATGAGCATACGAGGCAACAAGCATGCAAGAAACACCAAGAAGCTGAAGCTTGTTCTTGCTTACAGCATGATGAGATAGGAATCTATCAATGTAGGATACAGTGAGATAAAGGGTGTCCGAGACAAGTTTGTATTCCTCCGCAACCTCAACCAACCAATCCAATAGAATATCTCGCATAGTTTGATTAATATCATTTTGAACCTTTTCCATGTAATTGGGCAAGGGTCTCCTCTTTTCCTCTACCTGAATTATAGTCCATAATTGGATCAATACAAATCCAATTTTCCCAAATTAACTCTACTCTTACCAAGTAAGAAACAAAGCTTAGCATCAATTTCATATTCTTAAAATCAAACCATCCAGAGAATTGATACAAAATTGGATGACACGTCAAAAGCCCTAACACTTGAATGAGAGAATTGTTCCCTATGACACATTTTGGACCCTTACAAAAATATGTAAATAGAGGCTATCAAAACCAAAAACCCTAATATTCCATTAGAAGAGATTGTAGGATATAGACAAAAATTAAACATTTGAAGTACAGGCTTGTTTTTAAGGAAACAGAAAACTCCAGTCAAACTAGCTTCTACAACTAATGGCAACAAAATTTACCATCAAACCCATATAGAAAAACGAATCAAATTTTTGTGTACCTTTAATAACTATAAATGTAAATGTAAACTTACTAAAATGAATCAAGAGAAAATAAATTTAACCCTCAAATTTTCTTCCTTCATCTGCCATTTTCTCAGCAACCAAACAGAGATCTACCATCAAACCCATAAATGAACTATAACATATCATACCTCCAAGGAGTGAAGATGCTGATATATAAGAGGTGTATCAGCACGCTTCTGGGGATCATCGAAACTCGCAACAATCTCCAGTCCATCTGACTCCTGAACCTTCTTTTTCTTCGTCTTCGTGGACTTGGATTTGGGCTTCTGGGTACTCTCAAAATCGGAATTGTGAGACAACCCATCAACATCGGGGGAGTTGGTGAGGTCGCCCAATGGAACTCGCTTCTTAGTTCCGGCGGGCAATTGAGACTGATTGGCTGTGGCGGTTGAAGCAAAGGGTCGCTTCTTAGATGAGCGGATGGTTGGAACACTGTTTTCTTGCTCTCCCATTTGGGGATTTGATTCAAGGGTTTAGGGTTTTGGAAATGAATTAGGGTTTAAGAATTAGAGAACGCAGAAGAAGATTATGAAGAATATATGTGTGGGTATGCGGGTGTGTGTGAAGAACTGAGAGTGGACTCCTATTGAATTTGTAGAGAGAGAGCGGGAGGGAGGAGGAGAACGAATGCCGCCATTTCCATGATTTTAAAAGTCGTAATGCCGCGCTCTCGGTCAGTTCTGCTTGCTTTGGAATGTCGGATAAACATGTAAATATAAAAATGGGAAATTACCTGTCATTTGTAACTCTAAAAAATTAAAAAAATGTTTGGGAGCTCTAAATTGAAAGCGCTAAAACGCTAAAGGAGCTCTAGAGAGTGGATTTCATTGACTGATATGATATTTTGGCCTTACGTTTTTTTTTTTTTTTTTTTTTTTTTTTTTTTTGAATTTTCACCTCATTAGTGGTTCATTAGTGCTCCCAAATTAGTGGGATGTATCATTATTAAAAAAATTATTAGACCATATCTGATTGTTCATAATTAAAATTATAATTTAATAATGAATGGTGGAAAATAGAATAGAATAGCAATATTATTTTAGAATAATGTTTGAGGGCCCGAAATTAGTGGCTCGAATTTGGCTCAAAACTCAAAACGACGTCGTTTTGGGTTTTGATTTTTTTTTTTTTCTTCCTTTTCTTTTCTTCCTTTTCTTTTCTTCCTTTTCTTCCTTTTCTTTCTTCTTCTTCTTCGTTGCAGAGGCGAGAGCGAGAGCGAGAACGCAGGTCGTCGTCGGCATCGCAGCCCGTCGGCGTCCCAACTCGTCGGCCGATCTCGCAGCTCGTCCCTCGTCGTTCGTCGGCATCGCAGCCCCGCCTCCACCTCTGCCTCTGCCTCTGCCCCCCGCCTCGAGCCCGAGCCAGTGCCGCCTCCGGTCTCCTCCCCCGATGACTCCGCCTCCGCCTCCCCCTCCGCCTCCGCCTCCGCCTCCACCTCCACCTCCGCCCAATTTTGTTGGCCCCTCTAGTTGAGTTCTTCTTCTCCTTCTTCTCCTCCTCCTTCTCCTTTTTCCCCTAATTTCGAGCCAAATTCGAGCCCCTATATTCCGGCTCTGTAGCATTACTGATTATTTTAATAGTCAAATTACTATTTTTTAGTTTAACTAACTTTTTGGTGGTTATCAGGACAATCGTTCATTGTTAACAACTTTAACCAACTTTCCATGGTTGTTCTGAGCAATCGTTCAAATTTGTTGTCTCTTTCTTTATTTGTTCTGTTGGCAACTTTGGGTTGTTTGGGAGGTGGGTTGATTTTTTGACTTTTTTAATTATTTTAGTCTGGGGTTAAAAAATTTGATTTGGAAAGAACTTTTGACTTTTTTTAACTTTTTTGTGAGAGAAAAAATGTAATAATTATAAGCTAGATGTGATATTTTGTCTTATTAAACTAAAATGTTTATTTTATTTTTTGTAACTAAAACAACCAAAAAAAACCCCGAGTTGGGCTTCCGAATAGCAGGGATTGCGTGTAGACCATGCTGTGCCACACCTTGGCCGGGGTGCGCCACATCTCGGCCTAGGCCATACCTGCCTGCGGACAAGGTTCAAGTGCGGAGCATCTCGGCAAAGAATGCCCGAGGTGAAGATGGGGTTGAACAAGACCTCAAGATGGTTTTAAGTACAAGGGTCAAAGGCGGACTAAGCTCAAGATGATCTCGGCTTCGCACACGCACTAAGCAAGGAACAAAATCATGCAAGCAACTTAAGCAAATCAAGGCAAGATAAAACCTTCAAATTAACATGACAAGCAAGACCATGCAAGAATGTATGCAAGTATGGCAAGAGTAAGGTGAGGGTTGTTACAGATGCATTAGATAAATGGACAATACCAACAGTAGATCCAAAAACAATTTATAAAATTGGAACTTTTAATTTTCTGAGTAAACAGGTAATTAAAACTTTTGAGCATGCTGCTTATATCCAGAACAATGATGAAATCATAAGATTAATACATATCAATGATTTTATCTCATTCATCAGGAAATATAAATACATCCATATTGGACTTGTACAAATAGCTTTTAAACCTTTGACTCTCCAAGGTCAAAACACCAGCATTCAATGTACACTTCGTGATGGAAGATGTCTTAACTGGAGAGCTTCCTTAATGGGAGCAATAGAGACTAGTTTGTCTCATAGACCAGTATATTTTGATATTTATCCAAATCTTAGTATAGCAATGAATGATGCTAATTTATCTGATGTATTAGAACTTAGAGTTCTTACTCATGGATATGAGTATAAACCAGGATCACCCCCTTTTTCAGTACACTCTAGAATATATCTTAAGGTATTAACTACCTTAAACCCATATACCAGAAAGAAAACCGAAACAGGTCAAACAGTTTTAATTTAAACAAATCTTTATAATAGTCAAGTAGCTGTTCCTAGGTTAATTCCATGGAAAGATATTACTTTTCCAGATAGATGGCATATTCCAAATGCTGTACCACCAAGGCCTATCATCCAGCACAATTTAGATGATGTAATCCAGACACACGTAATGAAACATTTAAATGCAAACGTTATGCAATGAAAATGCCACATTTAAACAAACTGAAACAAGGTATAACAACCTCAAACGCAAAAGTAAGCAAACACGACACACGTGGGAATTATGAAACCAAACCACATTTCATGTAGAAAGGATGTACGAAAATTATGCAAACTTAACTACGCGATGCGCATGAAAGACGAAAAGCAACAAAATCATCGGGTGTACCCGAGATGTCAAACAAGATCCTAACGCACTGCACGCGGAAGAAAACAAGGATGGTGTGAACACCGGGACGCACCCAAATGTGTTTAATCGAAGGACGGTAACCGAAGAATGGTATGAACATCAGGACGCACTCAAATGTTTTTAACCGAAGGGAGAAACCGAAGGATGTGGTGAACATCAGGACGCACAAAAATGTTTTTTAACCCAAGGGAGGTAATCCTAGTGCACCTCACGCGCAAGGAGAAGGAGTAAAGAGGATGCGATTCAAAGGACACGAATAACTTTACCTAGAACTCCTCCGAATGAACCATACATACAATATCATTTGACTGTGTTGGCCCCGCTGAATGAACCATACATACAATATCGTAGCTGCATACAAGAGCATGCTTTGAAACGATAGTGCATTTTCTATGCATGAAACAAGCATGAAAGCATATTCTATGCAACAATAAAGAAGTGCATATTCTATGCAATAATGGAGAAGAGCATATTTTGTGCATGTGTAACGAATAGGAAATGCATATTCTATGCATGATAACAACTGAGATATAATAGCATGTTCTATGCGAACCAAACAATTTGAGAGCATATTCTATGCCTGATTGGCAACGGGAGCATATTCTATGCAAGATTTAGAGGCAAATGCATATATTCCATGCATGATTCAAGAACGAAAGCAATAAGCATGTTCTATGCAAAGTAAACAATTGAGGCTCAATGCTACATGAAGGCGTGTTCTACGCAAAGTATTGAATACATGTTCTATGCTAAGTACAAAATGCATGCTCCATGCGCGATTTAATAGCATGTTGCATGCTAAATAACAAAATGCATGTTCTATGCAAAATTGAAAACATCTTCTATGCAGAATACAAAATGCATGCTCCATACGCGATTAACAGCATGTTCCATGCTAAATAACAAAATGCATGTTCTATGCAAAGGATTAAAATACGTATTCTTTACAATAGCATATGTATTCTAACAAAAAAAGTTCAATAGAAACTTTCTGATCCACCTCTCGGAAGAGTTGCAACATGCCAAAAGGATACACCTTGTTCAACAAGTGACGAACAACGATCACCGAAAACACAATTTTGAGCTTCCGCAAAGAGAATTTGAACTCAACAGTGACCTTCCCTTGCACCTCTCGGGAAACAGGGACAATCACAGCGTCAAGACACAAAATAGAAGCATTGGGCACTGAACGGACACTAGGGAGGGATATCGGCCACCAATGAGGCTTGTCAGCCATCAATGGTGGCCAACCGGCCACCGATGGCAGATCGGGCCATTTTGGTCTTTTCACACATGGGTCTTTAAGTATAGGCCATGGGACCTCATTTGCACACACCTCCATGTCCGAAATTCCACCCTCTCTCTCTCTAAACCTTCCTTTTCTCTAGATTCGAGCTTTACACACTTTTTCCAATGCCCCACACATATTTTCTTCGATGAACCCTCTTAGTTTACTCCGTTTTGATTCGATTAAAATTTGATTTCAGCACTTTTTCTTGGAGTTTCATCACTTGAGGCTTGTTCTCCTCGAGTTTCTCTCCAGTTTGGTGCCTTATTCTAGGATTTGACTTTTTCTTCCTTTCTTTCTCTCCTAGGGTTTGACTTTTTTAAAATTTACCCCATTTTCTCCACTTTCTTCACTTTTCATCGACTCTTCACCCATATTCCAGATGGCAGACGACATACCACATGATAGAGCTTCTCCAGAGGCGGAGTTCGAGGCAGAGTTTGATTCTGAGGTGGAGCCGGAGCCATTACCACTGAGAATGAGGCCTTTCGATCCGGCGAGGTATCATCCTCGGATGCATATTCTGTTTGCTGGAGGCATTAGGCATTTCACTAATTTTGTTATTGACGTGCTAGAGGATCTCCTACTGAGGGAGCAAGATTCTCATCTTTCAGTTGTCCCCGTTGAGGTACAAACTCTATTCACTTGTACATCTGATGCTCTTTTACTTGCATTTCTTACACTGTCTCTTATCTGTCTGTACTTTCATCACTACCACTGCATTTGTTTTTCAACTTCCTCTTTCAACTAATTGTATTTACACGGGTTCACTTGTCCTCTGCCACAGGGTGACTCTCACGCATACAGGAGCTATGGGGCCACGACAGCCGGAGATTGGTATGACGAGCTCCCCGCAGGAGCAACATTGTTGACGAGATCGGCTTCGACCTATTTTGCTCTGGATTGACACAAGTTATAGCGAGCCGTCCACTTCTTGGAGCGCTAGTGGAAAGATGGTGGGACACCACTAACTCTCTCCACCTTTCCACTACCGGGGAGATGACGATGACTCCTTACGACTTCGTCATGATCACAGGCCTAGGTGCAGGGGGTGATCCGATTCCTTTCGATCCTGACATGGGGGAGTGGGAGGCTACCTGGATTGAGTTACTGGGGGCGCGCCCACCTCTGTTCTGGACAGCTATGGTCAGATACAGTTGGT